TTGAAGTAAATCTCAGTGTTTGTTGAAGCTGGGGAGATGGCTTCATGAGTAAAAGCACTTGCTATACAAGGGTAAGGACTGAATTCAAATTTCCATCATCCATATGGAAAGCCATCTATGCCTATAACCCAGAGGCAGAGACAGGAGGATTGTCAGGGCTTGCTGTCCTCCAACCTAGCTCCAGGTTCAATGAGAACCCCTGTCCAGGTAAAAAAGTGGACAGTGATAAAGCAAAACAGTTTAGATCCTCTGGCCTCTGTGCACACACAGGCACCATATATACCTACACCACAGACTCACATATGCACACACACACACACACACACACACACACACACACACACACACACAACCAGTATTTGCTGATTTTATGCTATGAAGGAAAATATCATTGGCTGCAATGTAATGGATTGTAAAGTATCTGTTGGGGAGAAATACATGGAGTAGTGATGACATTCTTACCTCATTCATTCATTTCACTCATCATGTCTATGCATAGAATGTTACAGCAAGTCTTTTGGCTTTTTATATGTCTCAACATTTATCTGCAGTGCCTTAAACATGATCCATGAGTCCATGCTTCAACTCCATTAAAGTGCATTGGATTATAGTTAGCAACTATGTTCATCTTTTGTTTAATTCCAGGAAATGGAAACTATAAGCATTTATTGGCATATGTGAATTTCTCTTAATTTAAATTCATTTGCAAACCGAAGTCAAAAACCCAAAAATCATGGGGCAAAGACTGTCTTGAGGAGCTGAATGTTATGTCTAGAATAATATATGTCTCTACAATAAATGACTAATAAGTTCTGAAACTGCCTTATTATAAAACAAATAAAATACAAAGGCAGAGTTTTTAATGACTTTTTCCTGAATTCCTTTATTGGAATATTGAAGACATAGGCTCCTGTGCAGAGCATTTGAACTGGGAATCCACTATACCACTTTGTGCTTCTGTTACCTTGAAAGAGTTCTTTTCGCTTTCTTAGCCTCCCTCCATGCTCCTCATCTGTGAGATGGAGATAATGGCAATGCCTGTCCTACTGGGTTAGTGAAACTCTTTAGATTATGCCTTACAAGATAGAATTCAGAGTAGTGCAAGCATGTGGGAAGGTCTGATGAACTCTGGCTCCTGCTCCTGTGACTGCTCCTATTTTTGTCTTGATTCTGCAGCATGAGAATAAATTTTCTATAGACACCCATTAATTAAGATGGTCAAAATGAGCCACAGAAATGAGACACATGAACCCAAACCAAACACTTATCATTCTTAACTCATTTGATTATTATTTTGAAATTTTTGTTTGTGGAGAGAGGCATGATTGTGGGTATCCGTGTGTGTGTTCTGTGTGTCTGTGTGTCTGTGTGTCTGTGTGTCTGTGTGTCTGTGTGTCTGTGTGTCTGTGTGTCTGTGTGTCTGTGTGTCTGTGTGTCTGTGTGTCTGTGTGTCTGTGTGTCTGTGTGTCTGTGTGTCTGTGTGTCTGTGTGTCTGTGTGTCTCTGTGTTTGTGATCATTGAAAGAGCAGTGGGAAAGACTGGTGAAACACCAAGAGGGCCTCATTCTTGCACTTTGTAGAGCACAGGAAAAAAAAAATTTTCCCTAAGATGCACCCCAGCATCCAGCCTTCTTTATAAAACCCACAAAAGGCAAAGGCATACTCAGAAACTTTGAAGTTTTCCAGGCAAGAAAATTGTGAGAACTATCTCAGTTCTGGAAATAATGTAGGGGACTTAGGGTGGTGACCTTTAACAGTGGGTACCATTCCGGTCTTGCTTTTTGCTTTATCAAAAACATCTAGCACATAGTAGGTGTGGCATGAGTGACTTGTGAAGCAATTGAATGAGTATTTCAGAGACTTATCACCGACACAGCCTATAAAAGAAAAGTAGGTCATCTCCCATGCGTCTCTGAAGTTTAAATACAATCATAGTATATTTCCAGGGAAGCTGGGGTTCACACCATAGCATTCAAGATGCTACTGAACTTCTGTGTGTTTTCCCTTTGCATCTCAGCATGCTATTTAAAGAAAGCAAAAATACTTTGACAAAGAACCTTGAGCATATTTCTTCATTATAACTCAGTCTTTGGTGCCAACAATGATATATTTCTACTTATTAAACATGTTAAATAACTCCAAAGATTTTTATTTGGCTTAGGAACACAAACATCAGTTATATTCCAGATAAATTGTATTTCAGGATTCAGTTGACAAAACAAGTAACAGAAAAAAAAAAAATCAGGGTAAGTCTAAGAGTATATTTGGCTAACTTACTGGCAAAAAGAGCATTCAGAGGTAAGACCTGGTGTGTGCTTCACGTTCCCATTTACTGTTCCAAGCCTAACAGTCATTAACACTATCAATATTTTGCTGATGCTTCCTTCTCTTTCATTATTCTTTCCCTTCTCAGTCTCCTGGCATGAGAATGGTATAAGACAAAAACCTCCACCACAAACCATCAGGTAATAGTGTGTTAAAGTGCTGTTTTAGTCGTGGGAGAGTTAAGGGCAGTTATTAAAATGTACCGTATCTATAATAGAGGGTAATGTCACTTTAAGACATGTGAGACTTTAGAGAGGAAGGGTGTACTGAAACAGACTCCCGCTCCTTACAGGAGGTATAGCAGCCCTGCTCTTACATTTCGCTGCCTAACTCTGTCCTGAATGTGCTGGAGTGGGGATGGTCTGTCAGTGGCTATAAACTGCTTCTCATCGGGGAAACTACATTAGCTCACCATCACTTCAAAGGTCTCGGCAGACAGAGGTGACGCCAGGAGATGATTTAAAGGTGAAAATGACAAGGTTTCCACCCCTCAAACCCTGGTTCCTTTTCTGACAATACAGTGAACGAACCCAACGTCTTCTTAACTGTGGAAATAGGATTGGAAGAAGAAAGCTTTTTTTTTTTCCTTCTTCTTCTTCTTCTTTAATTCTTGATAAAGAACTGCTGGGAAGCATTCTCTTTGAATATCTCAGAATTGTGGCACAGATGGATTTTAAAAAGTGTTAGCTCTTTCCAATGAACACTAGCAGAGTGCCCTGCTCTTGGCTGGATTTTTCAGGTAAGAAAGCCTCTGTCAAGATTTAAGATTGGGAAAGCAGATTTGAAACATATTCAGAGAAGTACGCGAGGTTAGATGCTTTATTTGGGGGGGAAATACTTACTGCCACTGAGCGGAGCAGAGCTCTGTCTGAGAGTGAGCGAGCAGGGAAATGGATATTCAGGAGCCTGGGAAGTAAAGCTGGGAATTAAAGAAAGTTAACAGGAAAAAAGAAAGGAAAAAAGGAGTGTTGCGATTGTCAAGTCTGAGCATCTTTCTGCATGCTGAGGTCTATGTGGGTTAAAAATGAGCAAGAGGCAGCCAAGCTCTGAGGAATTGCTAAGTTCTGATGATGGTTGGATTTTTTTCCTGAGTTAAATTTCCAGTACATTTAACAGTGATTGACAACACAGCAAATGCATGCCGGGTCACCTCTGTTTTGTCTTTCTGTAATTTGCAGGCTGTTCTGAAAGGCTCTAAAATGCACTCATTTGGGGATTCACAGGAGGGGAGTTGTTATTTATCTCTGCTAATGAGAATGCATCTATGCTATCCTGCTAGTTCTGAAAACAAGGCGGCAAAGCATGCTGTATACAGAAGTAAACAGTGGGCCACCAAACTAGAAACTAATTAGAAAGTGAGTGGTCCATCCTAGTCCCTGCCTGGGGCACTGATGGCTCCATGTGGTTGAAAAGAATGTTTCCCCACTTCGCACTTAATTACAGTTGTCACATTTTATCTATTGTTTTCCTCAAAGCCCTTTCTCAAACACTCCACCTCTTTAAAACCTGCAAATTACCCAGAATTAGAGACATGAATAAGGGTGTGTGTATAATGTTTAGTTTTGCTAAACATCCCTGGTTTTAAAAGAGTACCAAATTCCACAGATAAGGAAAGCATACTGGGAGCTCATGAGCAGGGTTTCAATGTTTAGTGGAAATTCCTGAAGGGTGTCATTTGAAACAGGGAAAGAGGAAAAACACCACCTTGATTGCTTGGAGCTCTCTAAGAGAAAGGCATGTTGCTCACTGAATTCTTGTATAGAAAGATGCCTCTTAACACTGGCTGACTAAGGAAGATGCTTCAAGTTTGATTAATTTGGCAATATGAAATGCAGCATAAGGTGTTGTTTGGGAAATTGGACAATGTGTAGCGCCGTTGAGCTTCTGTAGTTGCTGAGATGCTTGCTCATAGGTGCAGATAAGACTGTCAAAGTTTCGGTGCCTGAGAAAAGGTATATGCTCAGCCATAAATACACACAGCACCTGTATATGCATATTCATCAATGCTCTGAGAAATGCCACAGCAGGGTCTTAGGAGGCAAAACAATACTGTAAGTTACAGCTTGCTGGAGGATAGATGCATAAACCTTGCATCTGAAACTCACTCTGGCCGAAGACACACTCCCTTCTGATTTCAAGTCCAGTCAGAAAGATCAGTTCTGTTGGGAGATTACAACATGCCTCTGAGAAATGATTACTTAGTTTAGAGGACAGCATTGCCATTAAAAATTCATAACTGTAGAATTAAAGGAAAAAAAAAGAGCCCACTCTTTTCTTCCAGGCTTATGTCAGACTTGCAATGAAGTTAGAATGAGCAAGTCTGCAGCTTCTGAATGCATGGGAAAACTAGTTTGCAGCTCTTTGTGTAAAACTGGATGTTTTCATGGACATGAAATGGTTTCATCTGCCTCATTGATAGTCAAAAACTTTATTTTTGCATCTTAGGCAATCATTGGCCTTTTGTTTTCCAGACCTTAAGGGACCTATTTATGAGCTTCTGGAAAGGGTCTTCAATCCTAATCCCCGGCATGACCTCTACTGGAACGATCCTTCTAGACTGCCAAGTAGCAAAAGAACACTACTTCTAATATCTCCCTTCCCTCCTCCGTGGGACGTATTGCACTGGGGGCTGCAAGCTGGGGATAACCTGTTCTTGTTTCATGTTCTCTTTAGAGAATGGCAATGGTCTCTGCGATGTCCTGGGTTCTGTACTTGTGGATAAGTGCTTGTGCCATGCTGCTCTGCCATGGATCCCTCCAGCACACCTTCCAGCAGCACCACCTGCACAGACCAGGTAAGTGTATGCGTGTGTGTGGGGGGGGCTGGGGGGTCTGCTCCACAGCAGGCTCCTCCAGGCTTACCGTGGTCTCTTCAACAGATGGTGGAATGCAAGTGACAGAAATTGCTATAGTGTGGGCAGTTTGCCTTTGAATTCTAAGACATGCTGTGGGCTGGATGCTCTGGGGGATGGAGAGTGTACCAAAATGCCTTGGAGGTATTTCTGTTAATTTCTCAGAAAAGGCAGGTCTCTTTAAAGGAGTCGTCGCCCCCCTCTCTCCCACAGCCCCACTACCCACTTCCACACACCTTGTTTAGGAGAGTGATTTGGTTTTGGACAATAGCAAAAAATTCTACAAACCGGTGGAGTAACTTTCAAGACTCTGGGGGATTTAGAGAGGAGGCATATATTTGCTGGGTTGAGTTTTTACCTAGTGTAGATGCTGTCATTTCCGTCTGTGTAGCTAAGGACTCCAGGGATGTGTTAATGACCAGACTGACTTTAGAAGTTGTCAATGAAAAAGAAAATGAAACAGCGACTTACTATGTCGTGTCTGGTTTAATTTGCATCCAGTCTTCTCTCCCTTCCTTCCATCACTTTTGGTTCCTCCAGTATGTTCGGTGCCCCCACCCTTTTTTCCTCCCTCTGTTGGCAGTTTCAGGAACAAGTTCGCTCTGGCATGCTTTATTGAAAATTTTCTTTATTGATTTCTTTTTTTCCTTTTAGTTCCGGGTGCAGTGTCCTCTCTTCGGGTTTCTAACTCTTCCCTTGCCCCACTCTTCAATCCTGATTTTCCTTTCTTTGTCTTTCCAGCTTTCTCATAGGAAGTCACCCCCAGTTCAGTTGTCCTTAAAGCTTCCCGGTTGATTTTCAGAAAGGTTTCCTTCCGTTTTCCCTGTGGCTGTGTTTAGCCTTTGTGTCTTTTCGCCGCACCCCCTACCTTCACCGTCCTTGATGGGCCCCTGGGATGAGCAAGTACAACGTTTGGGGACCAGTTGCACACCCAAGTTCCGGCTCCTCAGTTTTGGAGTGCTGCCGCGCCCCCTCCAGCGCCCTCTCCATATCCGTCCCTGGCCTCCTGCCATCCAGAGGGCTTCTCCTCGCAGCAGGTCCAGGTCCGGAGTCTGCAGGGCTGTCTTTCCTGGCTCCGCAGCCTTGACTGTGATCCTGCACTCTTGTTTTAGCCTTCTCCATCCAGTCCCTCTCGGGGTGCCTTTTGCTGCCTCCCAAGGTTCAGCCTCCAGGCTGGGGCAGACTGGATAAACCTGGGAGGGTGCATGCCAGCTCACGCACGCCTGCTGGGTCTGCCGCCCTCGGCTGCAGAGGAGGGCTGGGGGAGGAGGAAGCCAGCTGTCCCCGGGTCCCAGCCGCCTTTCTTCCTTCCATAAGCCAGGTCAGCAAGGGAGCGAGGGGGCGCTGGTGCCCCGGCGGGTGGGCATGGAAAACGTGCAGCAGCCGCTGCTGGTGCTGCTTGCCTGTGTTTTCTGTGTCCTGTGTGCAGACCCTGGCACGGGAAGCGCCAGATTTCTGCCAGAAGCTTCAGTGCCAACATGGAAGGAACACAATCGTGGATTTGGGGATCCCTGAGCTACCTCCAACTACTTAATCGCCAATCTGTTCTGGCAAGAAAAGTCTTGGGCTTGTTACAATAGTCATACAAATAACCTGGGAAATGGGGTTTCTCTGTAATACTCAACAATGAGGTAAAACAACCAACCAGCCCAACAGTGCTGAGACCGTGTTCAGGGTTAATTCATTTTGTTAGTTTAGCCACTGTGTAAGTGGATATATTTTACCCCCTTTGCCCAGAGAATGGATGTGGAAGTTTGAAGTGGCTGGGTGACAGTCTGAAACCACCCCAAGAATGGCTGCCAATGGAGGTCATGGTCTTGTGATTCTACCACAAGAGGGGAAAATGTCTCCAAATAGACAAATTGTCTATATTAGGTAGCCTCTTGAGCAGCATTGGATATAATCTGTGAAGACTTTAAGGTCAGATCAATGCACACACCAATTTAAACTATAAGCCAGTTCTGGGAGGTGGCTGAAGCAGGTGGCTGGTGGTGGAGGCCAGGGACAGGTCAACATCTCTGTCCCTAACTTTCCTGACATGAACTTGGACTTTCCATATCTGAACTAAATTCCCCATCAGGGAATGGGGGTATCAGAGTGGTGGGGTTGACTTCCTAGGAAGTGAGAAGTGCTGGGTATAATGTGAATTTTCCTATAAATACTAAACATAGTCACCTCCTGTTTGAGGGACTGCAACCTGTAAGTCACACATGTTGAAGGAGTCCAATTTTACTGTTTGCACTGCTAACAGATCTACTTGGCCAGGGCAAAGCTTATTGTCTATGTTGTTTTCTAAGCATGTGACACGTGCCTAGGACACGCCTGTGATTACAACCTCTCTTAACTTTATGCTGTGTGTAGTCATAAAAAAAAAAAAAGCTCATATAGTTCGTAGGGAACTCTCACATACAACAGGTCTGTCCGCTTATGGCAACTGGGGCTATCATGTGTAACAAAGAAATCCATATCATCATAGGTCTTATTAGAATAGCATATTTTAAAAATTGGTTCTGCCTGAAATTAAATGCCCTGCTCATGTTCTTTCTTATCCACTGTGGAGTTTGCTCGTGATCAGCCAATACATGTTGAAGTTATACCTTAAATATCCCCAGGAACTTTGTTACAAAGTCTGCCCTCAAGTATCCACTCTTTGAGCCCTAGCACAGCCTTGTTGTAGAAAAGGAAAGGGTAGAAATCTTCTTCTATATGCAGAGGGATTAAAATAATGTTGATCTGAAAGTCCAGTGAGTCTGTATAATGTGCTTCTTCAACTCCCTTAAGATTGCTGCAATAGCTGCCGAGATTAAAGTGATAGATCTTGGCCATAGAAATCTCCCAAATTATTTCAGTCCCTCTTTAATGTGTTCTTCTGTTTTGATTTTAAGAGTAAAAATGTGTTTCTTTTTTTTCTTTCAGATAAGTGTTGTGGCATTTTCCTCTGTGGGTCTTAAATCTTTAGGGACACTAATGAAATGTGTCTGAAAACAAAATAAAGGAAAAAAAAAAAACAACTCAGGGCGGGTTATCTGTGACAATCCATCCCTAAGTGAGCAAACAAATAAATAAATAGTTGGATAAATGAGCAAAAAAAGGGAAAATATAATTTCATTCTCTCAAATCAGTGAAAATAAGTGACATGATGAGAAAAAATGAGACAGCAGCAGACCCCAGCCTTGCTACATTTGCCTAAGCTTGAAAAATCACCTCCTTCCCAAGGCAGAGCAGTGTACTTGGCATGCATGCCAAGCATGTGGAAATGTGCAAAGTAACAAATCTTTCACTAGGACGGTGTGTGTGTGTGTCTGTGTGTCTGTGTTGTGTGTGTGAGAGAGGAGGGGGGCTCTACAGCCACCTTCACCTGCTTAGAAATGGCATCCCCTCCCCCTCAGGCCAGCACCTCACAGGCAGCTTCTCCATCCCCTCCACAGCAAGATTGATGGTGTTACGATTGCAAGCAGGCAATTTCAGTCTCTCAAGAAATAATCCACTACACTGACAGATGAGAGGAATTTGACGAGCCGTTCCCCTTGTTGAGATTGCGCCTTACCTGGATGGCACCAGGCAGCCAGGGCCTGTTAGGGGAAATGGTTAGAGATTTGGGCCAATTTCTGCTGTCATAACATGAAATTGGGACAGTGTTTTTGTAAGGCCATGCATTTGTGATCCGTCTCCTCAGTGTAGTGGGTTTGTGCACAAACAGAATGAGAATATGTTAACTAGAAAACTGACTGATTTTAATGGATTTTCCTGCAGCCCCTAAGTACTTCCTATTTTTCATATTTATAGTATTAGGACTGCGCCATTTATTTTCTCTTACTCACTAGTTAGGGAAGATTAAAACAGTCAATCAAATGAAACTGAAATTTAAAATTATATAAGTGAATAAATGTGCTATAGATTAACAGATTCATAATTTTAATAATTGAATATGAAGATAATTTTTTATCTGGGGAAAGATGTAGGAAGTTACTATGACAACATGAAAAATATTTGTGCCTCTCCCCCATACCAAACCTTTGTAAGGACAGTTAATTTTAAAAAGACAGATTCAACAATGGAAACTCAGATGTAACATCTCTTTGGTTTCCAGTAATTAGGACAGTCTGAGTTCTTCACACTCAATAGTGGGTGCACGGGAGAAAAAGGATAAATGGTCTGCCAAATGCAGGCTTCCAATTAAGATTATGTTTTCTCCTGGTATGGATATATGAATTATGATGACAATTTTAATGCTTACTTTATTTGGGACAGGTGGAATTATGATGACAATTTTAATGCTTACTTTATTTGGGACAGGTGGGTGGAATTGTGTGTGTGTGTGTGTGTGTATGTGTGTGTGTGTGTGTGTATGTTTGAAACAATAAAATATGAGTCTTCTCAAAATTCTTTAGCAAGAAAAGAATCCTTCAGATTCTTTAGCCAAATAAAACTATATATCTATGAATTACATGAGACACAAGTTAGAAGTAAACAATGAATCATTTGTTCTTGAGTCAATATGATTTCATTGACATTGGAAATGATATATAAATGTTTGCTCTGGATAGAATATCCATGTAATTTATACTTGACAAGATTTAAGACTGTATTAAGCTTACTGTGTGTGTTAGAAGTCCTTGTTTATAACTTTATTATATAGTGTACATCACCATCCATTTTAACATGAGGATTTGAGTAAATCAATAAAAATTTATACATACCTTACATTAATTTTTACCATACCATTCAAAACTACATTTTAGAAAACTGCCTGGGGCATTGAAAAGCCAAGGTGCTTTTCAATAAAGGGTTCCTGAATAGTTTTAGTGTGTAAGACCTAGTGGGCACAACTGTGGTTGCTTATTTTCCTTTTAGCTTTAGCTTCCTTAGCTTGAAGTTGCTAAGTATAGTGGATTGGTGTTAGGATTGGAGAAGACAGGCTGTTATTTGGTGTAAGCTGGTGC